TACATGATGTTGGAGCAGACAATCCTTCTGACCTTCAGGAATGGGGTGAAAGATTAGGTGTTTGTTACCAGATTGACTGCAGCCTAAAGATATGTCCTTTCATAAGTCATAGCCTCTTTGGTGTCATTTTTGTGCAGCAGTTTTTTCTCCCGACTGGGTTAGTGGTTATCTTGCACAGGTACTGTGAGGTTTAAAGTCTCTGTTCTCACAATACAATGCTGTATAGTGTCATAAATTAGATTCTTACTTGATTAAGAATAAACTTACACAAATGACATTTAAGAGGAACTCTCACCAGGTATGTTCCTTTAGTTCTTTGTTAAGTATTAAATTATATGGTGAACATCAGTTAAGGCTTCCCAGCCTACTCAGACAGATAAAGTCATTAAAACTAACCTCCTGCTTGGGAAATTTAAAATTAAAATTCTTTAGAAAGTATTCAAAGGGTTTAAAGCTGCAACAGAGAAGTTTTCTGGAGCTTAACATATTTCTTTACCTGGTTTCAAAGTAGGCTTAGCAATGCAAGCTGGAGATCTGCTCAGAGTCACCGAGTGCATGTTCCTAAATCACAAGCCACTAACATATTTCAGAACAATTCTTTGTCCCCAATCTACTCTTTCCTCCTTATGGCAGAATGGGTCATCACTAAGTGGGGAAAAATGTTATGCTCTTGATCCTCACCCAAGCCCAGGTTAGTTCAGAGAACAGATCAGCTCGTCAGCCAGGAGCATTGGGTGCCAGCATCTTAACAGAATGGGCTCTTAGTCTTTGCCCTTCAGTAGCCTGTCTTAAAAGCATGGGTAATATCTCTCTCTTATTAAAGATAGGTCCTCAGACCATATGGTTGTGGGAGCTTTTAAGATTTGTGAGTCAGATCATTAACTGTACAAGGTGCTGCCAGTCTGCATAAGGAAATGCTTTCTCAAGCTGCTCTTAGAGGTCCAAAGCTGCTAATAGTGTTGTACCATCTGTGTCCCCAGTGCTGAGAATTGCTGTGCATCTACCCAATTTAAATACCCAGCATAAATCCTTAATAGCAACTGTAATACCTCCTCTGTCCTCTTTCAAGTGTTTCTGGATACATCTCATGTGCAGATTATGCCTGCAAGGTTAGTGCTCAAACTGTGGTATAGGTGCCTAAAAACAGATGAACATGTTATCTTTGATTCTCTGCTAAATCCTACAAAACCAGTCATGTAGGAACTGGTTAGCCTGGAGCACAAAGGGTGGAATCTAAATGGGATATGTTAATATTTGGATAATAATATATAGCTTTACAGACCAGGAGGAGTTGTGTTCTTTTCTGAAGATGTGGTCTTATGTTTTCCTTTGCCTAAAGGACAACATATTGGATAGAGGAGCAGGTATCTGCTGGTGAGCTAGAAGTGGAGTCGTGGTGGTTTGCAGATTAGTTCTTACTCCAGAATTTGCGGTGGCAATGCAATGGGTTCTTCCTAGTCCAACCAGCCTGTGTCTTGTGTTATCCTCTAGAGAAAGATGCTTGGTAGCCTTGTGCTTATGATTTACATGAGTATTGCCTCACACTGAACAGCTCCTCCAGCTTTAAGTAGGATTGACAGCTCTCACAAGTTAGTGGTTGAAGATAAGGTGTTTCCAATAAACTTGGGTGAGCCCATGCGAGAGCCTTTGTGCAGGTTCCTGGTGCTATTTGCAGCAGGTCTTGTTTTCTGTTAGCTGTGGCCACATAGGAACAGGTTACAGATATGCTGAAACAGATTAAGTTGGTATATGTAAAGAGTATTTGTGCTGACTTCAAGGCACTGGTCATTCTTCATAGTAAGTCAAGACATCGTTCAGAACAATCGGGGAAAATCTAGTCCCAACATGAATCCAACCAGGAGATGGTAGCATTGATGCATGCACAGAGTATTCCAAAGTTAAACACTGCCCCGAACCAACAGGCAAAAAAAAATCAGTGTCTTTTAGTTGGAAGATGTGCTGTTTTAGCTTTACATAGACAAATATTAACAAAACAGGCCTGGTTTTTGCTTTTGTTCCCTAATGGGCTAATGCAAGTCAGTAAATTAAAAATGCACTTCAGTTGGCATCTAAATACTGGGGCCACATTTGACCTGGTAATGATTTAACACAAGGATTTTGAAATTCAGTACTCCTAATCAGAAGTGCTTATGGCATTAAAAGGCTGGAAAGATAATAGATGCTAATGTCATTTCTGCATACCTGCTCTGTAAACTAATCATAGCTTTGCTTGAAAATGACATAGCTTTGCTGTAAAATTGGGTTTTGTTAAAGCTTGAATCTAAAAATCCTTGAGCCTTTTGTTTCAGTGTTACTGTTTTCCTGACCTTATGGTACGTATACATGTGCACTGACATGGAGAGAGTCTGATAACTGGTGTATAGGGTTACCTGACCTGGGAAATAAGGAAGGATCTTGATTCTGTCTTTCTGCACCCATCAACAGAAGGGAATGAGCATGGCCCCTATCAACAGGGTGCTGTTGTCTGATGCTTTAATGTCAGGCAAGGTAGCTGAGGGCCCACTGCTGTGCCCTTTCCATGGCTGGCTCTACAGATGTTTGACAGAGCTAATTTGTCACAGGGTCATCCCCAGGACTGGTGGATGCACCAGGAATGGCCCAAGTTTGGCAGGCTGTATTGCGCTCTTCTGTGGCAAGCAACAGGCTGCATTTATGTGAAGAGCCAAGAGATTAAAAAGCAATTTCTTCCTGGGATCTCAGTGACCAGGGAGGTGAATGGGCCCCCACTGTGCAAGGTCACATTATTGTCCATCTTCCACGTCTATTTATCTAGTAGTCGATGCAGCTAAAAGCATATATGTGGGCAGTGACTGCAGAGCATCCGCACAATTGTATTTCACCCTTGCTTGTGCAATTTGCTGATAGCTTTCAGATTAAGTATGAATTCTCTTGGTGCAGTGTTATCATACTGGTGCTGCTTGACCATAGTTAGCTAAGAAAGCAAACTGTGGAGACGTGCCTTGTGTTCTCCTAACTTTGTCAGCGTTGCCTGGAAGGTGCTGCCGTGATTGAGATCTGAATGCAGTGGATTTGAGACTTTTCTGCATCCACATGTCCCAGGTTGTTACTGTCTTTAAAATCCTGTGGGCTAATAGATGGGTGCGAACCTAATCTTGCATACTTCCCTTTAGAGACCTGTGTCTGACATCAAAACACTGCTGGGATTGTTAGTGATGGTAAGGTATGTATGTAGGAACAAATCAGGTAACACATTGTACATTCAGGTGCACAGTGAAAATGTCACCGTTCAGTCTGATGTTGGCACTTGCAGCTCGTGGCTTTTTGAGTACCAGAAGTGCCCTATGGAGCCAATCTGACACCGCAGCCCGGGTGACACGAGCCTGTATTTCCTTTCATAACAGCACAATGTAATCACTCTTTTTGTTCTTGTGCAGCCACAGGCTCCCTTGTAAGCACAAATTCAAATGGGAGAAACATCAAAGTTAATTTGAAATGAAATGCACCCCAAGTAGTCTGGGGGAAATGGAGACATTACTTTGTAGCCACCCTTCTCCTGCCAAAACTGCAGCACCCCAGATGTCAGGAAGCCACACTGTGCTCTTTGTCTGCTCTTGATTGACTGGATTGTTTTCATCCGAGCCTTTTTAAAGCTTTCCTCCTGCCTCCATGTTTTTAAGGAATAAAAAGCTAATATAAGGACATGGAGTGTTATGAAGCATGAAGTTCTATAAATATTTATGCTGAACTATCAAAAAAACTTGACAGTTCTTATTTTCTTGACAGATTGGGGTCACCTGTTGTTTTTGACCCTGAGAATTGAAGAGCACATGGAGTTAGATCTGTTTGTAATGACTTTTGGATATTGTTGTCTGGTAAACTTGTAGGAATGTAACAGTATAACAGACTTCTTTTTTTTGTGGTCTCTTTGTGAAAATGGAACTTAAGCCTTGTACTGTGTTACCCACAAATGATCACTCAAGTTACTGTGTCTGCAACCTGGCAGTGAATTCCTGAACTTTCTTTGGCACGTGTGAGTTTGAGTTAGCAAATTGGTTTGTCGCTCTACGCAGACAGCTTTCCCCTAGGTTGCTCTGGACTTGAAGTACTTGGTGATCACCTTTGTGTCTAGGAACTGCAGTGTGTTCTGAGCCCAGCACAACATGGCAACAAGGAAGGCTAAATATCTGGCCCGTGGTGTTTTGCCACCAGTCCCAGCACTGCTTTCAGTATCCCTGGGGCCAACTGAAGACAAACTCCTGTTGAAAGTGTTGACAAACAGGCGTTTTCTGGAGGCATGAGTCTTGTGATGCTCTCTGATGCTTGAGAATCCCCATTCCTCAACATTATGTGCACACGAGCTTAACTCCTGCCTGAAGCTGAAGTGACAGGTGAACATTTTAAATCCAAGTCTGGCTTTTTCAGCAAAGCTGGAGCTTTTGTGACAGCCACAATATTACATCCAGCTGCAGGGACCTTTCTTGCCTAGTAAATTCCTTGTGTAGGAAAAGATCAATCTGACGGTTCACACTGAATGAAATCTAGTGTGATTTAAAGTAAATCTTGAATATCTTGTGTGCATCTGAAGCTAACTGGAGTGTCTCTTGCTGTCAGTCACTAGAGGGCACAAAGGAACTACCTAGGAAAGAAGTTTGTTCTTCCAAGTCCTGGATTTCCAGTTTACATCTCTGAAAATGGGGAGAGAAATTCCTGTAGCTGCCAAAAGACAGGATGGCTTCAAAATTTTGGTTTTAGTGTTGATTTTCCCCACCCAAATCTACTTCTGGTTTGGAAGTGAAAAATTTCAAGGGTACTTCCATTTTTCTGTATTCAAAAGGTACGCAGCTCTCGGACCAAACACATAAGCTGCTCATCAACAGCTTTTAAGTCCAGCTCGTATCATTACAAAAGTTATTTCCTCATTTCTCAGGTTTCTGTACTTGGAACAATCTCCAAATGTGTCTGCTACATGAAGAGTAAGGCAGCAAAAGGAGTTCTCTGAATATGTGGTTCTTTTGCAGGTTGCATGCCTCATACGGGTTCCATCTGAGGTGGTCAAACAAAGGGCCCAGGTTTCTCCTTCCTCAAGTACCCTCCAGATTCTCTCCCGCACGTTGTATCATGAGGTGAGTTCAGAGCAAATTTCCAAGCAAGTTACTTCATTCTTCCCACTCAGTTCCATACATGTCCAGAACCATTCCTACAACTTTATTCCAGTTCTGTGTTCTCCTAGCACTTTCCCATCTATTCTCCTGTTGTTAAAAGTGATTGGCGTGTTATGTTTAAGGAAACCAAACCACCACCTTCCCCATGTGCATGCATTTATATGCATGCTCTAAATAACTCTTTCCAATTCTTCTCATATGAGGTACCTACATTAAAAAATACATTTAAAAAAGGGATTTTAGCTTTCCAGTTTCCAGAGGTCAGCTTGTGTTTATCATAGAATGGTCCTTCCACTTGAGTTGGAAGGGACCTTAAAGCTCATCTAGTTTCAACCTTCTACCACGGGCAGGGACACCTTCCACTAGGGCAGGTTGCTCCAAGCCCCTGTGTCCAACCTGGCCTTGAACACTGCCAGGGATGGGGCAGCCACAGCTTCTCTGGGTACCCTGTGCCAGCACCTCAGCACCCTCACAGGGAAGAGCTTTTGCCTTATGTCTGATCTAAATGTATCCTCTAAATGTCCTTGTAAGAAGTCCCTCTCCAAATTTCTTGTATATCCCCTTGTATTTATACCAACAGCCCTTGTCTGGTACAACAGAACATCTCGTCTATCTCGAGTTTGCTGAATGGTTTCCAGTTTTTGTAGCTCGCTTTAGAGGATGTCCTAAAGGCACCATTTCAGAGAGGCTCTGTAGGAGCTCTGGAATTGAGTGCTTATCCAGTATTAGTAGGTTTTGAAAAATAAGGGCTTTTGTTATCTTTTCAGTCGTCATACTGATCCTTCCTGTAAAAACCTGTTCACTGCTGTTTTTACTGAGTCTCACAAGGGGTATTTTTCAAGTTTATTCCGTAAGAGAAGGTGGCTCCTGAAAACACTGTGGGGAAAACAATATACATATTTCTGTGTGTAAAGGCCAGGAAAAGGAAGACATAAATATGACCTTTAACTGATCCACTTGATTTTTATTTGCTCATAAATGAAAACTATTGTGATAACCCTGCACAAGAGGGTCACTGCAAACTTCTTACTTGAAGAATGACTTGGTCATTCTGCTCTAAAAGCTGGTGCTCTCAAAACTGTCTGGTTTTCCCCTTCTTTGTAGCTGGCAGAGAACCTTAGGATTTGCCAAACACTTGAATAAACTGCCCTATAAGATAATGGATATAATTTTACATACGCTTATAAAATGTTAATGTTTTTTAGTGTTACCAGCTGGTTAAAAATATAAAATGTCTTGATAAAAGCTCTGAATCAAGGCTAAGGACGTGATCAGAAGAAGTTGTCATCCTATGGGTTCATTTTGCGTGGGCTATTTAAACAGAAATGTAGTCGTTTTGAAACATCTATGGGATAGTGATACTTTTAAACTAAAGTATTGGGCAAGTAGAGTTTGAAATGATGTATTTCTGCATCTTCTTGCCCTTTTAATTTTAACTGTAAGGTATATTCTCTTTTCTATAACTGATTATTCTGAACAGTGGTTAAATGGTCTCTGAAATGAACATAAACCTGTCTGGCACTGTGAATCACAGAACACAATATGCAATGCTATAATCAATATAATCAATTTGCAAGGAGTTCAGGTCTGACAATCAGTAAGGCTGTAATGTTTACCTTGTAATCACTGATAAACTGTGGTCTTTGGCAAACTAATCCCCTATAGCTGATGCTTTCTTTTGTTGGTTTACAGGGTATTCGAGGACTTTATCGGGGTTACAAAAGCACAGTATTAAGAGAGGTAAAACACTTGTCTTTCTCTTTTGATTCCTTCGCCTCACTTTGTTTTCTAACAAGAGATAGTACAATGGAAATCAATTGCTCTAACCATAAGCTCTAAATCCTAGTGTGCTTCATTTAGGTAAGTTAGTTTGTTATTTAAATAGGTTACTGATAATATGCACTAAGAAAACCTGTGATACATGCAAAAAGTCATCTACCACCCTTTGTCTCAGTTCTATTGCTGCTAAATCGTAAAAGGATGGAAATGTGTATGTTAACAGGATGAAAACCATAAAGTAAAATGCTGGAAACTTCCTCCAGTGCTGTGATTGCATCATGTGAAGTATGTATGCCAACAATGGTGAACTGGTGGCATCAGACCAAGTTTGGCACAGACAGATTTAGGCTTTCTTTAAATATATTTGTCAGCAGATGCCAAAGATTATCTGTCATCTGTATATAGAGAGGATTGTACTCTCTTTTAAATGGGTGAAAGCAATGCATTTAGTCATCCAGCCTGTAGATGTGATATGGCATTACTTAACTCTAAATCAGAATACTTCACTGCTGGAAAAATATAATGGGGCTAAAAATATTTTGGCCTGCTTGGCAGAAAATAGCTCATAAACTAAAATCTCTTAATAAACGTACTGTGAATTACAGGATTAGCGTCATGGAAGTGTTTGATATGCTGTGTGAACTGAAGGCAGATTATAAAAGAGGTAGAAAAACATACTGATGAACTCCCAGTCTAAAACTGTTTCAGAATCAGATCCCAGGATGTCATCTTCTGACAAAGCACAAGTTGCACCATGAGCACCTCAAAGAGACAGGGTTCAAATCCTATGAAAACATGAGAGCTTTTGTCCAGGAAGGTTCTTTACTGACTCTGTTCCATGTGCTGTGTGTGGGTTTGTCCTCTCCTTATGTAACTTGCTGAGTAAACTAGGTTTGGATCTTTGCTTCTTTTGTGTTTTCAACACAGGCTCAGGTCTCTTGGCTGTGTTGCTGTTGATATTAAAGCCAGTTGCAGAGGCTTTTCAAGCCTTCATTCAATAGCTCTGCTTTTAAAGCTTTTCTTCATGCTGGAAACTGTTTTTAGGACAGTTACGTTAGCCGGCTCTTGTTACAGTTGTGGTATAAAAATGGGTATTACCTAAAATAAGAAATACCAAATTTAGAGTTCCTTAAAGTGCTGGCACATGATAATGTACTGAGTCTATTTTGGCAGACTTGAGTGTTTAAAAAATCAGTTATTTGTGCAGAGATGACACCTGCTTTTCTGAAATGCACACCCCACCATAGCCGCTTCTTGTACCAATTTTCTAGCTCACTAAACATGGTATTCACTTGGATTTCATTTGGAGACGGGCAAAAAAAGGCCAACAAATGATTTTGATTTCTCTGAGGGCTTCTGAATAAATGAATAAATTTGGATCCCATCGCATACAGATTTTGCATACTAACAGGTAGATAAAACACGTGGTTACTACTGGGTGCTATTCTCCTTAAAATTTGTTTTGACACATGTTGGGGTGGTAATTCATTTGCAGACCATATTCATGGCACAGTGTGTGACCCTGCTGAGAACTTTGTTTACTCAAAATGGCAACACTTTGTTGGAGATTTAATGGGGGTCCTCTCCATTATGTATATTCATAAAAGATCTTTCAGAACTGATTTCAGTTGAAGTATTGCTTTTTGGGAGAATCTGTCCAATCGAATGAGAAATAAACAATTGCCAAATGAAATGTGCTTTCTCTTCCAAATGAATCAAATCAGAGGTGATGTTTAAAAGAAAACCATCATCTTTGAATTTAGCACTTTTAAGCCATTGCCTTTTTCTGCCACTAAATGTTGTAAAGCAATGTCCACTTGAGTCAAAACAGCATATTGAACCTTCACCTGGAACTGTTGTAAGCCTGACATTTAATCTTGGTATTATTTTCCCTTCTCTTTAGGTACACTTCTTCCTTTAAGCAAAGTTTTTATTTTCAGATAAAAATCTATATCAATTCATTATTGGACACATCCAGGTTGCTGCATAGCATACATAGACTGAGATTTAGTTCCAACTGACTTGTATACATACAGACTTTGTTCACATGCTTTGGTTCTTCACTTACACAAACCTCTTTGCTTAGTTACAGTGGAGTGGGATTTTTGGATAGAGGGGCTTCAATGCATGATTTCTCATGGAAAAGGCTGGGAATGTTGATGCTTTTCAGATGATGATATTCTTGCACTGCCAATATTCTTAAGCCAGAATTTAAGGAAGGTTAATTTTAGTTGGTGCATCGAGATAATATTTTGCCTATCACCTAAAGCAGTGCCTGGCCAGAGATGCGCTTGCCAATTGCTTGGGCTTAAGTGAAAGTCAGTCTGTTTATAAATGGAGAGTGAATGTTGAAACAATTGTCTTTATAGCATAGCAGATCTTTTCAAGACAGCCTTATTCTGCTCCATGTAATATGCATTAGCTGCTGTGCCGCTTCTGGTGCAAGGTAATTGCATCTTCCTTCATTTTTGATTCTCACTCTTTGACTTATCCCTTTGTTTTCTCATCAGAATAGTCTCTGTACAGATGAGTGTTGGAAGAGAAAGAAAATGGTTAGATGTGTAATGTTTTTGGAAATAACTTGGAGTTAACCTCAATGCTTGGAAATTTTGGCTATGACTCTTTCACCTACCTCCTTTTTGCTGCCTCTTCTCTCGCATTTCCATTACTTTGGCCTTTACATCTTTCTTTGATGCAGTTACACTAAACTAATCTGAAAATCAAAAGGGAAGTGAGGTACAGTGCCTCACTCTGTTGGCATTAGTAGCCCAAAAAAGACATCTGTGCTCCAAGAGGAAAGCTTTTGTGATAAAGCACAAAGCGGGAGCTTGGTTATTAGGTTGCTGAATGAGACTTTGAGTAAATCGGAGGCTGGGAAATGATGTGGAATTCCCATGACGTCATTTCCAAAGCAAATCCAAGTGAGAATTGTCCTTTCCTATGGGTGCATTGGTGTGGAAACTGCTTCCTGCTATTAAGAGCAGTCAATGGACAGGTAAATTTATTCATCTTTTCCACAAAAGAGACAAGTTCATTTGTGAAATCTCATAACAAGGCAGGAGCAGACTGTAAATCCTCTAGTATTTCTTAATGGGAGTGTAGTTCTGCTGCTGAGAATCTTATATAAACAAGTGGAGCCAGATTTTTAATTCCTGCATAATTCATTTTATTAACTATGACCAAGTAGAACATCTGTTAAAATTCCATAATGTTCAGTTCATGGGAAAAAGAGAGAAACCCCTGAGTTCCCGTTGGAGCTTTTCCATTTCCATTAACGTTGCAGGACTCTAGCAGATGTCCTAAAAGATGTTGTTATGAATGAGAGGACAACATAAAAGAAAAGGAAGTGCCTTGTCCAGTTTTCCCGTGTAAAATAGCTCGCTGTAGAATGAGTTATTTCACCCTCTGCGTGTCTGCGTGCAGGTTGTGGCTTTGCACAAGCAGTGCTGTGTTTAACTCTAGTGTCCCTTCTGTCAGGAGTTACCATAATTTGGAAGAACTGAGTGAGTCCTGAGTGGGTGTTCTGCGTGGTTTTGATCTGATTTGTTGCTTTTTAGAAGTACTGCAGATGCACTGGGCCCTAGCCCAGAAGTAGGTTCAAAAGGAGCTAAAATTAATATTGAACCCTTCCTTAAAGACAAAGGGGATGGAGGATGACTGACTCTTTATAATTCACAGGTGTCTTGAATGGAGACTAAGGCTCCTACAACCAGAGAATAGTTTGGGCTGAGAGGGACCTTCAGGATCATCCAGTTCCAACCCCCATGGCCGGGGACACCTCACACTAGACCAGGTTGCTCAAAGCCCCATCCAACCTGGCTTTCAAATCGCGTTCCAGTGTCAGTCTTTGTGCAGGTAGCCCTAAGTAAGCCTGTCCTCCGTGTTGTCTTATAGACTGTTTGGAGGCAATTCATGCTCTCTGATTGTAGTGGCCTCTGTTCAGGTAGAGGTGGTATTGATGCTTTACTTGACAGTGTTTTTTCAGAGCTCTGGATTTGGAAGGGAACTGCTGATAAATCTGAAGCCACTCTTTTACAGCATGCTGTTGATCTTGCTTGCAGAAGGGTAACCTAGTCAATCACTTTGGGGAGCCCTAGTTGTTTAAGTTAGTACAGTTGTGGGTAGGTTGGGGGTTTTTTTCCCCTTCAGTGTATGCATGTTGGAGCCCTAAGCAGATAAAGGCAGCTACTGCTACCCTGGGAGGAAGAGAGCACTCCATGCTATGTTAATTTTGGGGAGGAGAAGGACAGCTAGTTCAAAGTATGCTGTTGCACTCATGAGTGGCAGCAGTGTGACAAGCAGGCAACAAATTTGGGCTCTTCCCAATTTCAGAAAGCCAAGAAGTAGTGTCTCCTGAGAAGGAGGTACTGTTTGTTGTATGGGTGCCACAGAAGTAGTACCCTGATACGGTATGTGTATCAAAAGGGGCTGTGGAGGATATGCCTGTGCAGACAAAGGAGGAGATGGCAGAAAACGTACAAAAAAACCCCCTTCTAAATGACTTACTACCTGGGAGAGGGAATCTAAAGCAGCTAGTAGGCAAATGGGCCTTAAAGGCTCACCTGCTGCCTGTTCCTGAATGTAAAGGGTCAGTGCACAAAGGATGCTGAGAAGGTTTTGTGTAAAACTGAGACCCAGCTGAGATCTGTTGCCTCTGTTGACTGAGGGAGAGAGGGGATGTCTGAGCTCGCTAGGGAACAGTCTGCAAACAAGGAGCCTCGCTTGTTTATCCACCAGAGGTAGTTCTGCATGCTTCCCTTTTGTTAGGACATCTTTAGATAAATATCCTGTTCTCCTAGCTGTTAGAGGCTTTTATTAAGTTTATCTCTGTTGCTGTAGGACAGAAAGAATGTTATTAATACATTCTTTTACTTGCACAATTAAAACTTAGATCTTCTGTCATTCTCTGTGTATTACAGAGCAGATGTAGATAGAAACAGGTGAACAGGACACTATTTAAT